ACCCAAAATTAACAGCAAAGGCACAAGGCCAGATTGCTGAAACTGGACCCATGTGAGCGGTGCTGGGACCAGCAGGGACCAGCCCTCGCTCTCGGCTCTGTGCCTGGCTTTTAAATCCCTTTCAGGAGGGCTGATGATGGAGACAGAGCCAGCTTTTACAGTGGCAGCCCAGCTGGGGATCAACACTGTAAAAACAAGCACATAAAACTCCAAATCAAATTACATTTGCAATGAAAACATTAACGTGACGAGCAGCCCCGACAGAAGGCATCCCTCTGGTCGGCGGCCACCGGAGCTGCTGCCTGACTCCCGCCGCATCGCGCCACTGACGTCATTTCTTTGCCTGCTGTAGGAGCTGTAATGAAATTCAGTATCTTGTGTCTCTTCATACAAGTAGCTCATCACTACCGGGCTAGTAATTAAAAGAAAATGGGGAGGGGGAGCAGGGAAATCAGGCTAGCACAGTTCTTTCTCTCTGTTGTCCTTCGTCTGGGATCACAGGGGGTTTGCTGCCAGGAGCCGCCTCTCGCATCCCCTGGAGCCTTTGGGGCTCCCTGTTCCCAGGGGCGATGCTGCAGCCCAGCTCAGCACGCAGCCCCTACGCAGAGCGGGCAGGGGGTCTGAGGGCTGTTGCTCCTGCACTGTAAACATCTGTATTACTCTTTCCTCAGGGTTTGATAGGAACCTGCTTCAACCCTGCATCTCTGGGGCACATCTCCCCTGGGCAGGGAGGAGAGGGCTTTCCCCTTAAAAAGCCCTGCAGCAAACTGGGCGCTGCTGTCCCCTGTGCCAGGGCCATCCTGACCCAGCTTCTGCCAGGGCATCAGCAAGTTTTTCTCTGAAATAATGACTTCTGTGAGCCAGGAAAACCAGAGGAAATCCAACCTTTTCCTCTTAATGAGTGCCCCTGCCTAGCTTTCCATCGATACATCACCAGGAGCTCTCTTTTTTCATTTATCACCATAGATGTTCTGTTTCTTGTTGCATTCCCAGCATTTTTTTATAGAAGTCTTTGCTTAAGGATACCCCTATGGACTCCTGGTCAGAGGGGAGTCATTAGAAGAAAAATCAAATTAGCCATCCTAAAGCACAGATGAGGTATGGGGAAGCTGGAGCTGTGGGGGGGTGACGAGGATGGGCGATGCTGGGGGGCACTGCACTGCACCCCGCTGGCGTGGGACAGCCAGCAGAAAGCAACTTTACATCAGGAATAATTTGGCCCCGACCCAGACATTGAGGAAGATCCATGCCTGTAAATACCTAGGCCTCTCCTTCTGACTTGATTGCTGTTTTAGTTAATTTACCCTAATGAAGAAGAGTGTTTCAGTACAAACAGGGGTTGCTAACGAGCACACGGCGGCAGCAGCAAGCACCAGCCGGGGAGGCGACAGCCGGGGAAAACTGACCCAGACTGCCTGATGATGGAGAGCTGCGCAGCTCCAAAACCTGGCTGCAGCTCCCTGAGTCGGGCTTGCCCGCTCCGAGCTGCGGCTTCCTTGAGTTTCCCGGCTTTATAATAAAGAGAGCAGATAAAGCCCGTAAATAAAAAACTCTCCTTCCCTCTCGCTGTGTGCTTCTAGCTCACAAAGGTTAGTGGAGCAGAGCAGAAACGAGCCATCTCTGCCCCATGGAAATGGTTTCCATCCATGAGATTTTTTTTTTATGGCTTCAAGTGGAGTGAAAGGATGTTTTCCAAGCTACAGAGCAGCAATATGCTGATCTCGCCTAAACATCTGGAATAGTTTCGAATGATCACTTTAATTGAATATAGCAGCAATTATAGAGTTATTTCATTTCAGACATTTTGGAGGTTTCTTTCCCTTGGTGCCTCAGGAGGGGCTGTACGAATCCCAGGGCTACGTTGGGCTGCCCCATGGCAATGGGCAGCCGTGCAGGAGGACCCGGTCCCAGCCCAGCCCCAGGCAGCTGGAACAGCTCAGTAACCTAAATCTGGGCACATCACAAATCCACCAGCCTCCTTTAAATTTAAACCATTTAAAATATTTAAGTGTTTTTTATTATTCTAGCAGTTTAAAATTATTCCTGGACAACGCTGCCCTGTCTTCCTTTGAGGTTCTTTGCAATGCTAGTGAGAAAGTAATTTCCATACCCTGACATGCCTCAAGAGAGAACTGGGTTGTCTGAATCGGTCATGCTCAACTCTCTTCATTTTGAGGGACGCACTAATTTTTCCAGCGTGGATGTAGATCCCTCCAGCAAGACCTGAGCATAGGCCACCCTTCCCAAACCCTTCATCAGCCACCCATGGACTTCACAGACATGATGATGAAAAATTACTGATCTCAAACTGCATCAGTCCCAACTCCCTTAAAACAAAGGGCAGATCTTCCCATGCCAAAGCACAAAGCTGGCAATGGGACCAAGGACCAGCCCGCAGCCTTGGCACCTCCATCCCATGCCATCCTACCTCTTCTGGTGGCCCAGCAGCTCCTCTGTGACAAGCACAGCCTTCACAAGAACATCCAGAAATGGTATAAAGACATCAAGAGAGACAAACCAGTTCTTCCCGGTGTTCATCTCTTCCCATAGTTAATCACTCAACTTTTATTTGTCCAGCCTCAACTTCCAGCCATTGATTCTCATTATGCTTTTCCTTACAAGAGTTAAGAGCTAGCTCTTCAGTATCTATTATTTTCACCATGTGATGGGGTTTTGGCATGAGTAAGCCAAGGACAGGCACACTTTAGAAAGGTATTTTCTTACAGTGCAAACTACATGAGAAAATTATGCAAAGATAAGGGTGTCTAGATTGTAACAGTTAAAAAAACCCAGACTGATACTTCTGCCCAGTTTCTGGGCTAGTTTAAGTCAAGCCTAAGCATAGCAACCTGATTCTTTCAAACTTAACTAGGAGCATCCATGAAGTCCCAGTAAGGATGGGAAGTGGTTGGGTGAAGTGCCACAAGACCTCTTTGCCAGCCCATACTTCAGAGATGCCATGCTCTGGATAAGAGGAGGATAAATTTTGGGTGGTGATCACTTTGGTTAAAGGAGTTACATCCCCCCCCATGGCCAAAACACAGCCCTGGTGAAGCAGAGCCACTCTGGAGACTCTGGTACATGGGCACGCTGCCCCGGGGGCTGCTCTGCCTCATCGCGGCTGGTGCAGACCCACTGAGCTCCAGCTCTGCTGCCCCCTTCCAACACAAACCGTCATTTAAACCAGAAAGTAAAACCCAACCTGAGACTCAGCCCATGCCGCAAACCAGATAACTCCTTGAGGAACTCAAAAGCCAAAACTAGTCTTTATTCTCAACCCAAAGATGCACATTTGCTCCAGAGCGCTAACAATTTTTCCTTATTATTATTCTTAGCTAGAACATCCAGCCTTTCAGCCTGTGGTTGCTCGAGGTAAAAAATCAGCACTACTTGAACTGTGATCAACCAAAACATGGAATGAATGCTGTGTTTTATTTAATAAACTCCAGCAACACAAGGCTGCCTGGTAGACACAATGTAATTTGTTTTGGATGTAAAGATGGAAAAAATAATTGTTTTGTCTTCAAGGCAATTAAAAAAAAGATTTCTGTATTAACAGGAAGGAAGCTGCCAGGCTAAAATTCACATTTAATAAACTACTTTTTTCTATTCCCTTATATTAGCATTCAGAAATTGTCAATTCTTGTTATTTTCCTCAAAGTCAAGGAGTCGTCATGTGTCACTAGGAAGTCTTTACTGCTGGTATTAGGAGCTCGCCTGAGAACTACACGGTTTGCTAAAAAACAGCAGAAAGGAGAGTGGGAAACAGCAGTGCTGAATAGTTCTTGAAAATATTACTTAAGATGAAAAAGTACAGAGAAAGAGCAAAACAAGATAATTTCATTATTTTTAAGATAATCTCATGCTTTGGAATCATAAGGCAATTTGAAGACAGTCTTAATTCTTCTGCTGAGCTCCTCTCTCAGCTTGCCTTAACTATGCGGAAGCCAGACTCCAAAGCTTGTTGCAGTTACTCCAGAAAAACATCTCAATTCAAAATAAAATAAAATAAAAAAAATTCCTAAAAGAGTATGTAAATAACTACAAAACCAAAGTGATAAATTGAATGAAGAAACCACACCAAGGACTCTTTTTAACCGCATGATTCACTGGGACCTGAACCCTTTAAAACTTTACCCTTTAGGGTTCACCAGGATGATGGCAGCACACAAAAAGAAAAATCAAACGCAACAGCCAGAGAGCTGTAAGAGTCAACTTCCATAGCACCAAAAGTATCACCTGTCCCTGTAAGGGCCAATTTGTGGTGATCAAGCCCCGTAGCCAGCCACAGCCCAGCACAGGCAGGTAGAGTCTTGACACGCTGGATGAAGGAGCAAGCTACGGTCCCAGACTTGCTTTTTTTTTTTTTTGCAGTGCAGATGGAGCATGGTGATGTCCTGCAGAAGGTCCCACGTGCATGGGCACGGCAATGGTGGGCTGATACATGGTGCCCACAGGAGCACCCCCACTCCCAGGACATACTGTGGTGCCGATGAGCTTGGGGCCGGGCTTGGTCCCTACCGGCGCCTCGTGGTCAGACATAGCCGTCATCGCTTTTGGTAGCGATTAAACCACGTAATGGGCACTTGGAGGGTATCAGGTTCCTGCTGCTTATGGGGCTGTATTAATAACTGGGACTAAAACCATGGAGACAAACATAAAGGGGGGCAGAGCATTACTGTTATACAATACAATTGGGATGGGAAAAGGAAATTTCTGTGGAGCAGCCATGTTGGCAAAAACAAAGCTCCCTTCAGCGCCCAGGGCTCTCCCAGAGCTGGAGCCCAGCCAGAAATCAACTCAGGGCCCCTTTCAATGCCTCCGTGCAGAGCACATCCCTCTTTCTTTGCTATTTCAGTTAAAAACCATGTTGCGAGCACTTTTCCTTTCTCTTGCAGCCAGGCTGCCAGCGCAGGAGGGAGCTCGGGCGC